TTTTAGTCAATTTGACATATAAAAACGAATTAGAATTCTTTTTTGGGAACAAGGTCTTCTTTTACACTTCTCAGATTTCTTATGTTTTACAAAGCAACTTCACACAAATTAAGTAAGGTTTATGTCATGCATATCGAGCACCGCTTTACCTGAAAATCACACGATAGAACATGAGAATAAAAAAGATCATATTGGAATGCTAATCGGGCTTTGCATACTACTTAATGGGTTTTCGAAACTTTTTCTCGAAAACTCAAAGGTTTTCGCAACATTCGGAAACCCTAAAGGGTTTTCCAGTTATGTTCGGAAACGTTGCTAGATTTCTGGAAAACGCTTCGACCGTTTCCGATGCCTGGAAACCCAAAAGGGTTTTCGATAAAAAAATATCGAAAACCCAAAGGTATGCGAGGATACGCAATGGGTATCCGAAAAGGTTTTCGAAGCAAAAGCGGTTTCCGAGAATACGGTTGAGGGTTTCCGAATCCGCTCTGTCCAAAATCCATTGGTTTCCGGATGCTCGGAAACTCTCAAGGTATTGTCAGAAACTCAACATAAGTTCGGAAACCCTTCTGGAAACCTAAAAAGGTTTGCGAAAAGGTTTCCGAAGGGGTATCAGTTTCCGAGGAAACCTTTTTTTTAGAGTGTAGTGATGTTCCGCTTTTATGAAGCGCGTCCACAAACTGGATAACTTATTTATTTTTAATCAAACGAGTCTCATTACTGACAAACAATATGAAACAAGAGAGAAACAGAGAGAAGCAAGGGACTGTTACACAGTGCCAGTCATGCTCAAATTTTGTAATTTCTTCTCTCTTCTGTGTGTTTGTTGTTCACGCAGGTACCTTTTCTGTCTCGTGAGATGCGAGATGAAATGATAGCAACAATGGGAGATGCACTCATCATTCGCGAATAGATTTCCGATAAGCTCCGTCGTAGCGAAGATTGAGTAAGACGGATTTGGAATAAAACACTGAAAGAATGTCACACACCTTGCAAGTGGTCGACCTAAGGTGTTCTATCAAGAGAGCGGAAACAGTGAGTCATGTAACCGTTCAACATGGACACTATCGACAAGGATTAAAACCTTTCCATATAATTGCAAAGCCGTTGAAGACAAACACTCACATTGACGATTGCACTGATGAAGATTTCCTGAATAACACGCATTCGAATGAATTTTATATTTATGTAATCAGAGCCACACCATCAAAATGACAGAATTTGAGTAAAACGCATCGAAGACATCAGTCTCCATGAAAGATACCGTGAAACGGTTCACGATGCAACCTGCATCAGAATAGAAAACACTTCATTGAGTCCTGAAGGAATATGGACAATCTTGGGATGGTGTCTATCTCCGCGGGGTTATTCTTCGAGCTCCTGTCAATGTTCTTGACACAAATGAAGTCATATTTGTTCGTGATAAGGCACTCTGCATGAAGGCCAATGCAACACAACATCTTTTGAAGGATGAAGGCGTGAAGTCCTATAGCAATTCAATTTAGGCTCGTAACAGTCTTGACATGAACTCGGCAGAAAACATCGGTACAATTATCAAAGATAAAGCTGAAGGCCAAATAGTAAGTGAAGATCGTCGAAACAGATACCGTTATGATGTCCCCCAAACTATCATTGAGAATACAGTCAAAGCTCTTGAAGAGGACACAGATCTTTTTATTGATTTCCTATGCTCAACGAGAAAAACATTTGACGTTCTCAAAGCTGCTGAAGCAAGTTATACAAATTTCTAAAATGTTTTCATAAATGTAAATTTGTCAGAAGTTTATATTTCTACAAAATTGGAAATTCTACCATTTACAATTTAAGCAAGCGATGAAGATAATAGTTCTTTGATAGACCCAATATTATAAAATCGATGGCATTTTTCTGCCCAAACTGGCTCGTTTATTGCAATATTTGTTTTTTTTCTATTACATTGTTCAACAAAGATACCATTAAATTCGTGATCTTCATCAAAAACTGCCTGGACGGATTATTAATCCAAATCTTTCAGTCGAAAAGATTTTTGTCTGAAGTAACTTCCAGTTTTTTTTTCGTCAAGAATATATAAATGACTTGTCTAAAAATGCCCTTTCTGATAGAGATTATGAATCTGCTATTATTTTTCATGTGAATATTTAGATGAAGCATGAGAATCGTAAAACAATAAGAGTGTATTTTGTCATGCAATTCGACAAATCTCAATAATTTCATGAGCAATAAGTATTCTACTAGCACTCATAAATGCAGTTTTTCATGAGCTTTAATCTGTTATAAAATACTTTGTGATATCATTTATTTCAGTAAAATGTTACAATACTACTTGAGAATCGGTTCAAAGATCTCCTGATATTTCTTAATAGAACTTTCGAATGGTATAAATCACTTGAATATAAGAATTTTTTTATATGTCGGTGTTGTTCGATGTTTTCATGTACCCTCTCTTAGCAAGCTTGAACATAAAACTAATTATTCGAAATTGAAAAAGTCGAAAAATGATAGAAAAACTAGTGTGGAAGCGTCCTAATCATATAGATTTACCTTCTACCATCACGTATCTAGCTATCACCTATGATCATGCGATTGTTTGTAACAATTTGAATAAATAAAAGATTTCACACAGAAACTTCAGTATATATAAAACCCATTCGAACGTGTACCACTCATCCGAGTGCTAGTTTATAGCCTAAAGCATAACACGAATGAAATAAGCCGTTGAATTGCAATTATAGAAAATACAACAATTCAAGAAGTCATTCATTCAAAAATTTATATTATGTAACTAATTTGTGATCTTCGAATGATTTCAATAGACAATATGTGAAGAGCGTTTGATGAAACCCATAAGCCAAGTAGAAATAAGACATAATGTGGAAGGTTGTGATTCTCGTACCGATTTCTACATCCTATACCATGATACTACGAGAAGATACTCTGAACGCCGTTGATCGAATCTTAGAGAAACATGCAAAACAGGGGAAAATTGGTGATTTATGAATCGATACAATCGTACAGTTTGCACGGTTACCTTGGTATCGGCTCATATTCACATTTTAGGAAGGAAGCCAAAACTAAATTGAGCATCAAAAAATTCACATATCCAGTGGAACTAACCCTCAATTTTCTGGATGTAGTCATTGAAAATAAGAATGATCAATTGATCACATTAGTATTTCATCAGCCGTTTGCTTAATTGTGTCCTTTACCTTTTTCATCAGATCTTGCTCGTCATCATATCACTCGAAGCGCTACCTATTGTAGTTTACTCCATGATACTCGTTGTTGTTCAAATATCGACCACCTTGGAAAAGTATATTGGAAATACAAGTTGGTATTGACATTTATTAAGTATCATTTCAAACAGTTCTTCGAAGCAAACAAAGTCACTAGCCATGTATCAGTCAGCTAGACAATGCTAGAACTATTAAAATCAAAACGATAAACGTTCTGATGTGTCACAGAAAAAGATCGATCATGCCCTACGCATTTAAAAGTGTCCGAGTTATAAGATACCCACGAGGATTTCGACCATTCTCAAAAAAATAATGATGCCTATGATAAAATCGCGTGCAAAACGTATCCGACTGTTCGTCGAACCACGAACAAATTCATCATTTTAACGCCAATTAATTAACTAAAACAAGACGCTTTATTTTCATATCACTCAGAATTAAAATTTTCGCTCATAGCAAATAAATAACGAACATTCCTATTATAATTGGTCTTTCTTAATTTTTCATTGTTTTCGATATTCACTCTAGACTTTTCATAATGATGCGGATGATGTGTTAATACAAGGTCTACATTCTTGAGAACGATGTAAAAATAAATACTTACTTTTCGCGACAAGACGTGACTCTGATGCAAAACGTCAAACAACAACAACAACAACAACTACTTCTTTAGCGTTCACGGCTCTATATACATAGAATGTTCCACAATACTAACAACACGATGCAGAACAATAGTAAAATAAATCCACCCTAGGCCACTGAACAATTAATAAAAACCAATTGCAACAAAATTTCATTACCAATAATGAAAGACAAAGCATCGTGTTAGCATCAAAAAAACAGAAAGAAAGCCACATATCAAGCCCAACCTAAAGAAAAATTTAGCCTCCTCGCAGAATTCTATGCCTAAAACTACGAACAGACACATACAATTTTAGAAACAAAAAACGATGAATATTAGATTTGTTCCTCTTGTCAGAAACAGATAAAAACTACAAGTCACCATCAATTCACACAGTTCAAACCAAATATCAGTGTCCATAGCAAATCAAATGAGAAAGTCTCATATCTACGGAATCCAGAGAGAGGCCCATCACACAGGTTTCGAGCAACTTTTTCCATGATATTTTTCAAGTTAACTGATCAAAACAATGAACGGCTAAACCTCTGTGATGCGATCATTCAGAAACATCGAAACTAGATAAAGCTTTCTTCTCAATGATGCACACTGACATGTCGCACGTGAATGGTCATATAAACAACGAGAAGCAATTAATTCAAATGTTCGAAACAAATTGTATTTTTGTGATCGTAATATTTTTAGTGCGTTGAAAAATTCGAAAAAATTCCACACATTTTGTGACAGTATGAGGGTTAAGGGCCTTTGTCTATGTTGACGACAATTTCTGCTGCCGCCACTACGTTATTGTTATTGTAAGAGTAAATGTTTTTGTCGTTGCATTTTAAACTAATTGAAGAAGAAAAAGAATAGATGTTAATACGAAAGATTATTAAAAAAATAATTGACTTACCACATCGGAAAAGAAGGACTCGATGATTATTCTGATCAGCAACATATAAATTGCCTACTGCGTCGAGCCGCATACCTCTTGGAGAATTGAAAGTTGTAGATACAATAGTATTTGCAGTTGTAGAACCATACGCAAATATTTGTATTCTATTGTTTCCTGCATCCATGATATACCTAGCATATATATATATATATAAGGGGAAAATGTTTCTATAAATAATATCTCATAAAGGAATTTACATATTAAAATTTGAATCAAAAGTAATTGCCGTAGGAGAATTTAAAAGAGATGAACTCGACCCAGAAGTACTTGTGGTTCCAGCAATAGTAATACCGTAAGTATTACCTTGTATTGAAGAGAAAATCAATTTTATTATTAAAAACAAAGACAAAAAACTTCTTATTTGACACAAACCTCTGATCCATTGTTGCACTCTGTGATTGCCTCTATCAACAACATACAGAGTACTGTTTGAATCAACATGAATACCCCATGGACTATTTAAATGAACAGATGAACTTCCAAGAACACCTATGCCGGCAGCCTGAAAAAGTAATTTATAAAATTAATGACATATACAATAAATATATTTACCAATTGACCAGCACTTGCATTGTTAGGTAACCATAAAGTAACTCTATGATTACTATATTCTGAAACGTAAATATTTCCTTGATTATCAACGAAAACTGAATAAACAAGACCAATTTTATCAAGTGTAGAACCGTTTCCTCTTCCACCAGCAACAGTAAAGCCTAATGGTTGATTTGGCAAAACTTTTTGGACTCTGTAATTGCTCGCATCAGCTATATACATTATTCCGTTTAAATCAACATATACTGATGTTGGATTATATAATTCTGAATATGATGAACCCCCAGCTAATGTATAACCAGCTACTGTTGAACTAGCAGCAAAAACTCCTGTTTTATCAAAACAAAAAAAAAATACAACTCTTTAAAACACTTTTGAAGAGAAAATTTCCATTTATGTAACCTAATTTATATTTTTGAACTCTGCTATTTCCATAATCAGCAACATAAATATTAAAATTTCCATCTACAAACACATCAGTTGGACTATTCAAATGTATAGATGTTGTTCCAGTAGCGGATGAAACTCCAGCTACAATTGACCATGTTGCATTATAAACACCTGATTGACATGCTGCATTCGGTGGTAGTGCTAAACAAAACAATATTTTCATATTTATATCTACAGCTACGCCAACATACTTGAAGATGCTACAGTTGTTGTTGTCGTTGGAGCTAGGAAATTTAGTTCAAATTTTTATTATTTATCAAAACTTTTCTTTCTAAAATAAACTTACGGCATAAAATATTATACGACATAATTCGATGTGATGATGTATCAGCAACATAGATATTATTTGAAAAATCCCAATGCATTGCAGATGGACTTGACATCGATCCTGATACAACTGTGAAACCATATGTCATACCTATTGACCATTTTTGGACTCGTGAGTTTCCTGCATCTAATACATACATATAACCATATTGATCAAATGTAAGAGATGTTGGATTATTAAATTGATATGACCATGAACCTAATACTCCGCTTTGCCCAGCTATTGTTATACCAATTGGTGATCCTTTAATAAAATATTAATTACTTATTAATTATAATATGAAAACTATTTACCAAAAACCCATTTTTGAATACGATGATTCAATCGATCAGCAACATACAATGTTTCATTAATATCAACATAAATTCCCCATGGACCATTTAGTTTTTCTGATGTACTACCGACACCAGCTCCACCTGCCATCTTTTATTATAAAACACAATGAAACAATAAGTTATATATATAATTAGAAATAAAACAATGAAAATTACCAATTGTCCAAGATTGTTATTTGATATTATCCATTTCGTAACTCGATTGTTTCCATATTCAGATACATAAATAGATGTTGCATTAAAAACAAACATAGCATAACTAGTTCCTATTTTATCTAATGTTGTACCTGAACCACGACCATTAACAATAATAGTGCCTAGTTGATTTCCTAATTCCCATCGAAGAATTCGATAATTTGATGTATCTAATATATACATATTGTCATTTGCATCAACATAAACTGCAGATGGATTATTAAGTTGACCTAATGTACTTCCAGCAGATGAAGTTATACCAGCAACTGTTTGTCCTACATTTGATCCTATAAAAAAAAACAAAATAATATTTCAGATATATGTGTTCAATTATATTTATTTGAAATAAATACCGAATGTATATTGTTGAATTCTATGATTACCATAATCAGCAACATACATTTGTTGATATTTATCAAATGTCACATCGTATGGGCTTGAGACAAATGTTGGCGAATTTCCTGACGTTCCTGTTGCACCAACAATTAAAGTTACTGAAGAATTCCACACAGCGGTTGAACATAATGGGGTTGAAACTTGTACTAAACAAATTGATTCGCGTAGAATAAACGAAAAAACAGAAACGAAAATAAGCAAAAACTAACTTGATAGAGGAGCACTTGTTGTTGTTACAGCTAAAATATTTTTATTATTGAATTCGATTGCTTTTTTTTCAATAAAAACTTACGACAGTAGACCGAAAACGATTGAACGCGATGAGAATTTGTATCGGCTATAAATAAATTTCCAACAGCATTGACTCCCATCCCTAATGGATTACTCAATGTTGTTGTTAATACTGTTGTGCCGAACGTTGCTCCTGAAGTCCATTTTTGAATTCGTGTATTTCCTGAATCTAATACATAGATAGAACCATACTGATCGACCATAACCCCTGTTGGACTATTCAATAGATACGAAAAAGAACCAGCAGTACCACTCGTATCACCAGCAACAGTTATACCATTAGCAGCACCTGTTCAGTTTAGGAATTCACAATTAGATGCATGATTATAAGAATATAGTATAAATACCTGAATCCCATCGTTGGATTCGATTATTACTTCTATCTGCAACATACAGAGTACTACTACTATCGACATAAATTCCCCACGGATAATTTAATTTATCTGGTGTATTTCCTTGACCATTTCCACCAGCAATCTATTAATTAAATAAATATTCAAAAAAAATCAAAAGAAATCTTAAAATTACCAAAGCTCCAGCAGTTGTATTTCCGTTAGACCATTTAGTAACACGGTGATTGGTTTGTTCAGATATATATATATTATAGTGACTGTCAACAAATAAACTATAACTTGTACCAATTTGAGTAAATGCACCACCATTACCATTTCCACCAGCAACAATATACCCAAGTGGGTCTCCTAATTTCCATTTTAAAACTCTATAATTTGATGTATCCATGATATACATTATTTGATTAGCAGTGACATAAATTGCACTTGGATTATTCAATTGTGCAAGTGTACTTCCAGGTGAACCTGTTGAACCAGCTACTGTTGCAGCTGTATTTGATCCTAAGAAAGTATAAAAAATATACGAGTTTTCTTTTAGTTTATTGAGAATATTGAAATATGATATAAACCTGGAGGAAATCTTTGAATTCTATGATTAGAATAATCAACAACATACATATAATTATAAGAATCAAAGTCAACATCATATGGATAATAAAGTAATGTTGCTGTTGAACCAGTCGTACCCTGAGAGCCAGCTGCTGTGGTAGATGTTGAATTCCATGTTGCTGCTGAGCATAGAGGAATTGTTGTTACAGCTATTTAGAAATAGTTTTATATTTAGATATGTAATATTATTTTTTTATTATTTTCATTACTCGGAGGTGGACTAGTTGTTGTCGTTGTGCCAGCTATATATTTTTAAAAGAATTTTTAATTGAAAAACAAAAACAATCTTTTAAAAATAACAAATAACTTACGACACAATAAGCCAAATGATAATACTCTATGATACGAGGTATCAGCAATAACAAAATTTCCTAAAAGGTCTATCTTTATTGCTGATGGACTGCTCATTGTAGCTGATATAACAGTTCTACCATAACTATCTCCAGGAAACCATCTTTGGACTCTTGAATTTCCAGAATCTAATACATATAAATATCCGTATGGATCCAATATAATTGATGTTGGATTATTCAGTTGATATGCCCATGGTCCTGCACTACTTGTTGAGCCAGCCACAGTTACACCAGTGCCTGACCCTTTTAGAAAACTATTTAATAGATTTCATCTTGGAATTTTTCTATGTTTACCTGCATCCCAACGTTGTACACGATGATTTCCTGAATCAGCGACATAAACTGTGCGATTTGCATCAACATAAACACCCCATGGTGAGTTTAGTTTTTCATTCGCATTTCCTTGACCATTGCCACCGGCAACCTTTTATTAAAATTTCAATAGAAAAAACGACAAAAAACTTTATAGAAAAAATAAAATCTTACCAAAGCTCCAGCAGTTCTGTTGTGATTAGACCATAGAGTAACACGATGATTTGAACTTTCTGATACATAAACATTATATTGATCATCAACAAATATACCATAACTTGTACCAATTTGATTAGATGCACCACCATTACTGTTTCCACCAGCAATAACATACCCAAGTGGGTCTCCTAATTGCCATCTTAAAACTCTATAATTCAATGTATCTAATATGAACATTGTTTTATTAGATGAGACAAATATTCCATATGGATTATTTAATTGTGAATAAGTATTGCCAGCAGAACCTGCAGTTCCAGCAACAGTTGTACCTATAGTTTGTCCTATAATAAAAAAAATTTATTTTCATAGGAAAGAACAACAATTTTTGCTATTTGAACCTGATCGAAATAAATGAATTCTATGATTCGTTCTATCAGCAACATACATATTTCCATACCCATCAAAATGAATATCAGATGGATTATATAATAATGTTGTAGTTGTTCCAGCACTAGATGTTATACCAGCTACTACTGTAGATGTTTGGTTCCAAACAGCTGTTGCACAAATTTGGTTCTGGGATGAAGCTAAAAACAAATCATTCGTTAATTAATCAAATATTTTACTTCGATAAACAAAAATATAAAAATTACTCGGTGGCTGCGTTGTTGTAGTTGTTGGTGATGCTAAAAAAAGATAATATTTGAATCTCATACTTGGCTTTTTTTATTTATAACAATTTAAAACTATTTAAGAATAACAAAATGAACTTACGACATAATAGAGCAAAAGATAAAATTCTATGATAAGATGTATCAGCTATAAATAAATTTCCTGAAAAATCAAGAGACATTCCCGTTGGATTACTCATTGTTGCTGATAATATTGTTATTCCATATGGAGCTCCTGGAAACCATTTTTGAACTCGTGCATTACCAGTATCCAAAACATAGATATAACCATAAGGATCAAGCATAATTGATGTTGGACTACTAAATTGATAGGACCATGGGCCAACACTACCTGTTGTACCAGCGACAGTTGTTGCAACACTTGCACCTTTTAAAATAAAGAAGTTTTCTTTTATTAGTTTGACAAAAAAAAGACTATTTTAAATTCAAGTACCTGAAGGCCAATATTGGACACGATGATTTCCTTGATCAACAATATATATTCCACTTGTATTATCAACATAAATTCCCCATGGTGAATTTAGTTTTTCTGCTGTACTCCCTTGACCATTTCCACCAGCAACCTTTTATTCAAATAGAAAAAAAATATATATATATATATATATATAAAATAATAAATGAATAAGTTAAATTACTAATAATCCAGCAGTATTATTTCCATTATACCATAATGTAACACGATGATTTCCAAATTCAGATATATATATATTATAATTAGTATCAACAAAAAATCCATGACTTCTTCCTATTTTATCAAATGTTGAGCCAGAACCTCGACCATTAACAATAACTGTACCAATTGTGTCTCCAATTTGCCATTTTATAACACGATAATTATAAGTATCTAATACATACATTGTTTGACTTGAATCAACATATAAAGCTGATGGACCATTGAATTCTGAACGTCCACTACCAGATGATGGATTTAAACCAGCTACTGTAGATCCAATATTTGATCCTAAAAAGATATTTTTTGTTTTTTATCTAACAAAATTCAAATATGAAATAAAACCTTGTTGAAATCTTTGAATTCTATGATTACCATAATCAATAACATACATATATCCATATCCATCAAAAGTAAGACCATATGGAGATGATAATAATGTTGATGTTGATCCGGGACTTGATGTTGAGCCAGCAACCATTGTAAATGATGAATTCCATATTGCTGTTGCACATAATGGAACTCGAGTTTGAGCTATTTTTATTATTTATTATTTATTATTTCAATATACTTCAAATAGAACTTACGTGGAGGTAACGTTGTTGTTGTTGTTGTTGCAGCTAAGTAAAGAAAAAAATTAAGTTTTCTTTAATTATTATATTACTAAATTCGTTTTTTCAAGGAACAAAAATAAAATTGTTAACTTACGACACATTACACTATATGAAACAACACGATGATAAGATGTATCAGCTACAATTAAATTGCCAAGACGATCAAATTTTAATCCAATTGGTGAACTCAGTGATCCTGATGTAACCGTTGTACCATAACTTGCACCAGGATACCATTTTTGAATTCGATTGTTACCCGAATCTAATATATAAAGATAACCATATTGATCTAATGTAACTGCTGTTGGATTATTGAATTGATATGACCATGAACCTGGATCACTTGTTGAACCAGCTACTGTTAAACCACCATTGACTCCTAGAAAATCATTTATTTTATCATTTAATATATTAATTGTTTTCATCTTTTACCTGCACCCCATTTTTGTACTCGATGATTTCCTTTATCAACAACATAAATTGATTGATTTGAATCAACATAAACTCCCCATGGAGAATTTAGTTTTTCTGCTGTATTTCCTTGACCATTTCCACCAGCAACCTTTTATTCAAATAAATGAAAATAACAAAAAAAAAGTTTTGAAAAACAAAAATATTAATGATTACCAAAGTTCCAACAGTTGTATTTCCATTAAACCATAAAGTAACACGATGATTTGTTTGTTCAGATATATATATATTATATTGTTCATCAGCAAAAATTCCATAGCTTGTACCAATTTGAGTAAATGCACCACCATTACCATTTCCACCTGCAACAATATAACCTAATGTATCACCAACTTGCCATCTCAAAACTCTATAATTGCTTCTATCTAATATAAACATTGTTCCATTTTTCGATACACTTATTGATGTTGGATAATACAATTCTGAACGTGAACCTCCACTTCCAAGTGAAAATCCGGCTACTGTAGTACCAATATATATTCCTAAAAACAAAGCGAAAATCGTATTCTGTAGGTAGAAAATCAATTTGAATTAACCATGCGGATATCTTTCAATTCTGTGATTATTAAAATCAACAATATACATATTTTCATAAGCATCAAAATCTATGTCATATGGTGTATTAAGTAAAGTTTGTGTTGATCCAGCTGCTGATATTGATCCAGCGATTGTAGAAGATGTTTGATTCCAAGTAGCTGTTGGACATAATGGAACAATTGCTTGAGCTATAGTATCACAAATTATAACATTTTTTTTTCATGTTTTATTTTATAAAACAAAAAACTGTAACTGACTTGCTGGTGCAGGTGTAGTCGATGTTGGAGCCGCTTAAATGAACAAATATTTATGTTATTAAACAGGTTCAGATATGATTATTACAAGGAAAAAGGAAATTAAAGTTTTTCTTAAAGTCAATAAAAACTTACGACATGTAAGACTAAATGATATAACGCGATGATAAGACGTATCAGCTACAATCAGATTTCCAAATGGATCGATTGTCATACCATATGGATTATACATATTTGTTGCTGCAACAGTAATACCAAATGGTGCACCTGGAATCCATCTTTGAATTCTTTCATTTGTGAAGTCCATAATATAGATATAACCATATATATCTTGTGTTATTGATGTTGGATTATTAAATTGATATGACCATGGACCTGGATCACTTGTTGAACCAGCTACTGTTAAACCAAAGCTTGCTCCTAAATAAATATTTTTATTCAATTCATATATTATCAATAAATTAAACTCTTTTACTATATGCCCAATATTGAACACGATGATTACCACGATCAACAATATATAATCCACCGGTACTATCAAGATAAATTCCCCATGGTAAATTCAATTTTTCTGCTGTATTTCCAGCACCATTTCCACCAGCAATCTAGATTTTCAAAAACAAAAACAACGAGCTAAAAATTCATATGACAAAATAATAAATTACTAAAACTCCAGTAGTAGGATTTGCAGATAACCATTTGGTAATTCGATGATTAGCATTTTCAGACACATAAACATTATATTGATTGTCAACAAATAATTCGTAACTTGCCCCAATTTGAGTAAATGCACCACCGTTACCATTTCCACCAGCAACAACATAACCTAATGTATCACCAACTTGCCATCTTAAAACTCGATAATTTGATGTATCCATTATAAACATTGTTCCATTTTTAGTTACACTCATTGCTGTTGGATAATACAATTGTGCACGTGAACTTCCAGCTGAACCTGTTGAACCAGCTACGGTTGTACCAGTCTGAGACCCTGAAATCATTTTTAAGAAAAACAGAAATATTTCTTTTGTTTTTGTTTTAATTTAAATTTAAACGAAACCTAGTTGAAATCTTTGAATTCTATGATTAGTATAATCAACAACATACAGGTTTGCATAACCATCATAATCAATATCATACGGATTATATAATAATGTTGATGTTGATCCAGCACTTGATGTTGAACCAGCTATAATCGACATTGTTTGATTCCACGAAGCTGTAGAACATAGTGGAGTTGTTATTAGCACTAGTAAAATTTTAAAGAGAATTTCTTTAGTTTTTTTCTTTTTATTAAAAATTATTTTACTTGGTGGTGCTGATGTCGTTGTTGTTGTTGAAGCTAAATATATGGATTATTTTTTATTGCAAAAATATCTGTCTTTTTACTAGGGAACAAATTAAAGAAAGAAGTTTTCCGTCAAATTTTTAAACTCTTGTTCTTTTATGTTTAAGTTTTAAGAAAAAAATTCGAATTCAATCTGGAATGTATAAAAGACAAATTTGAAATCAGCAAAAGAAACTTACGGCACGCAACATTAAAAGAAATAATTCTATGATAACTTGTATCAGCTACAACCATGTTTCCAAGACGATCAAATGTCATTCCGATTGGTAAACTCATTGATCCTGATGCAACAGTTATACCATAACTGGCACTAGGATACCATTTTTGAACTCTGTTATTACTATAATCAACTATATACATATAACCATATGAATCGAATGTAATTGCTGTTGGACTATTAAATTGATATGACCATGGACCTGGATCACTTGTTGAACCAGCTACTGTTACACCAACACTCGCACCTTTAAGACAATTGTTTTACAGACTATATTTTAAATTTCTTTTACGCTGTTTACCTGCATCCCATTTTTGTACTCTATGATTTCCTCGATCAACAACAAAAATAGCTCTATTTCCATCAACGTATACTCCCCATGGTGAACTCAGTTTATCAGCTGTACTTCCAGCACCATTTCCACCAGCAACCTAATATTAAATAAATTAGTACAAAAGTTACTTTTTTTTCAAGAAAATTTGAAAAATTACTAAAACTCCAGCAGTTGTATTTCCATTAGACCATTTTGCTACACGATGATTCGTTTGTTCAGATACATAAATATTATAATTTTGGTCAACAAACATTCCATAAGTTGTACCAATTTGAGTGTATGCACCACCGTTACCATTTCCACCAACTACAACATAACCTAATGTGTCACCAACTTGCCATTTTAAAATTCTATAATTATTTGTGTCTAAAATATACATTGCTAGATTTGGAGCCACAAAGATCATTGATGGAGAGTTTAATTGTGAACGTGAACTTCCAGCTGAACCTGATGAACCAGCTACTGTTGTACCAGTGTTCGATCCTAAATTGTTGGAATAGAATAACCTTTTATTTCAATATTTTTTGCAAACCTGATGGAAATCTTTGGATTCTATGATTAGAATAATCAACAACATACATATTGCCATAACCATCAAAATCAACATCGTACGGATAATAAAGTAATGTTGACCCTGATCCAAGTGTGTTCATTGATCCAGCTAATGTTGAATATGTTTGATTCCATATGGCTGTTTGACATACTGGTATTGCTGCTTGAGCTATTCATATATGAATACAAATAATTTTAGTCAATTTATTGTAAAAGAAAAAATCACTGACTTGGTGGCGATGTTGTTGTTGTGGTAGGTGACGCTAAAACGAAAAACAAAATTAATATTCGTTTTTCTTGTAAAAAAAACAAGAATCTTCTTCATTCAACTAAAATATTGAAACTTATAGAAGCGTTTAGAAAAAGAAAAACTTACGACAAAGCATATTGAATGATATAACACGATGATTCGAGGTATCTGATATAACGAGATTTCCATACGGATCAAATTGCATAGCATGTGGTGAATACATTGATGTTGATACAACTGTTGTGCCATAGGGAGCACCTGGATACCATTTTTGAACTCGGTCATTATTGAAATCTAATATATACAGATAACCATACGGATCCATTGTAAGTGAGGTTGGAGAATCAAATTGATATGACCATGGACCTGGATCACTTGTTGAACCAGCAACTGTTGTAGCAAGACTCGCACCTAAATTAGAATTTCTATTCAATATCACATAAAGTTAACTGTGTATTTCTTTACCGAAATCCCATTTTTGCACCCTGTGATTTCCTCGATCAACAATATATGTCGAATTATTAGAAATATAGACTCCCCATGGACTTGATAATTTATCCGCTGTACTACCCACACCATTGCCACCAGCAACCTATAAATTAAATTAAATTCAAAATGGAAAGGAATTCTAAAATTACCAAAGCTCCATAAGTTGTATTAGACATAGACCATTTTGTTATTCTATGATTACTACTTTCCGATATGTATATATTGTATTGACCATCAACAAACATTGCATAACTTACACCAATTTGATTATATCCTCCACCATTACCATTTCCACCAGCAACAATATAACCCATTGCATCTCCTAATTGCCATTTTAAAACTCTATAATTTGTTGTATCTAATATAAACATCGTTCTATTACGAGTAACATGTAATCCATATGGATTATAAAGTTGTGCTCGTGTGCTCCCCAAAGAGCCAGTGACACCAGCTACAGTATCTCCAACATTTGAGCCTTAAAATACACAGTCTATATAATGTGATATATAAAAACTAATTTCTATACCTGGTGGATATCGTTGAATTCTATGATTAGTTAAATCAGCAATATACATATATCCATATCCATCAAAAGCAATACTTGTTGGATTATATAATAATGTTGTTGTTGAACCAGATGTTCCCAAAGATCCCACTAGTGTAGAATATGTTTGATTCCAAACAGCAGTAGAACAAACTGGAACAGTTGCTTGAACTATTTCATATTAGAATTAATTGAAGACTTATTTCAAATATAAACTAACTTACATGCTGGTGCCGTCGTTGTTGTTGTTGTAGCAGCTTAAAATTAAAATAGAAAAAAAGTACATTTTTTCATTTCTCAAATTTTGAACAAAAATTTTCAATTATAAGGATTTAAATTATATTAAACTTACGACATGTCATAGCAAAAGATAGAATTCGATGGCTCAATGAATCAGTAACAACAAGATTTCCTTGATTGTCAGCATGCAATCCATAAGGACTAGCCAGTGGTGTTGCGACTACTGTTATTCCATAAGTTGCACCAAGATACCATTTTTGAATTCGATCATTTGCAGAATCTAATACATATATATAACCATATGGATCAACAGTTATGCCTGTTGGAGTATTTAATTGATATGCATATGGACCTGGATCACTAGTTGAACCAGCAATAGTAGTGGCACTGCTTGCTCCTGAAATATTTTAAATGACTAACTTTAAATAATGAAATAGATCATACTCACCAGATTTCCAAAGCTGTACTCGGTGATTCGATGTATCACATATATACATTGATCCATTAACATCAACATAAATACCCCAAGGATTGTTTAATCTTTCTGATGTACTTCCAGCACCGTTTCCACCAGCAACCTATATATAAATAAGAAATCAAAATAAAATTAATAAATTACAAAGATGTACCAATATTCCTGATGTTGTATTTGTTGTTAACCATAATGTAACTCTATGATTACCATATTCAGATACATAGACATTCGATTGACTATCAACAAACATGCCATGACTTGTTGTTATTTGAGTAAATGCTGCACCAGCTCCATTTCCACCAGCAACAACATAACCGAATGGATCACCAAATTGCCATCGTAAAACTCGATAATTACTTGTATCTAATATATACATTGTTCGGTTCGAATCAACATAAATTGCATGTGGACTATTCAATTGAGCGTAGGCACTACCAGCAGAACCTGAACTTCCAGCAATAGTTATACCTGTTGTTGTTCCTAAAAAACAAAAAAAATCCAAAAGTTAATTTGAATATGCAAGATAATTAAAATATGAAATTTACCGCGAGGAAAGTATTGAATTCTATGATTACTTGTATCAACAACATATAAGCTTTGATACCCATCCAAAACAGCATCATACGGACTACTTAATAATGTGGATGTTGCTCCGCTGCTTCCTGTTATACCAGCCAATATTGAAAATGTTTGATTCCATTGGGCTGTTGCACATATTGACCTTGGTGATGATGCTTTTCAATCAGAATTAAATATTAATTATCTAGAAAATGAATAAACGCATAACTCACTCGGTGCAAGTGTTGACGTTGTTGTTGTAGCAGCTAAAATTTAAAAATATATCGTATGAATAGAAAATACGATAGTATAATTTTAATATACCACAAAATACACGAAAGGATAAAATTCGATGATTAGAACTATCAGCTACAACAAGATTTTTAAGAAGATCAAATTGCATTCCATAGGGATTAGAAAAAGATGCTGCTATAATGGTTGTTCCATAAATTGCACTCGGATACCATTTTTGAATTCGATCATTTCCAAAATCCAATATATACAAATAACCATATTGATCTAACAATATTGATGTTGGACTACTCAATTGATAAGACCATGGACCTGCATCACCAGTTTTACCCGCAACAGTTGTGCCACTTATTGCTCCTATTTAGATATTCATTAACTACAATCAAATTTATATATTACTTACCATTAAGCCAAAATTGTACTCGATGATTACTTCTATCAACAATGTACATCGCTTGATTAGAATCAACATAAATACCCCAAGGACTATTTAATCTTTCTGAAGAACTTCCAGCACCATTTCCACCAGCAACCTTTAATTAAATGATAAAACAAATAAAATGAAAATGTTAAACAATAAATACACACTAATATTCCTGATGTTGTATTACTTGATAACCATAATGTAACTCTGTGATTATTAGATTCAGATACATAAATATTCGATTGACTGTCAACAAACATAGCATAACTTGCACCTATTTGAGTATATGCTGCACCGTTACCATTTCCACCAGCAACAACATAACCAAATGGATCACCAAATTGCCATCGTAAAACTCGATAATTACTTGTATCTAATATATACATGGCTCGATGTGAATCAACATAGATTGCATATGGATTATATAATTGAGCATAAGTACTACCATAAGAACCTGAACTTCCAGCTACAGTGGCACCTATTGATGTTCCTAAAAAAAGAAAAATAAACGAAAATTTAATATTCATATGCATATGTATCAGACAAAATCAAATATGCAATATACCACGAGGATAATATTGAATTCTATGATTAGTTGTATCAGCAACATATAAATTTTGATATCCATCAAAATAAATATTATATGGATTGTATAATAAAGTTGTTGAAGTTCCTGCACTTCCTGTTATACCAGCCAATATTGAAAATGTTTGATTCCATTGAGGTGTTGGACACAATGAAGCTTGTGTTGATGCTATTCAATATAAAAAAGAATCAAATCTATATTGTAATAAATGTTTTAAAAACTAACTTGGTGGTGATGCTGTTGTTGTTGTAGCATTAGCTAAAATCGAAATAAAGAATTGTTTATTTCAAAGAATAAAATTTATATGTAAAGCTCAAAATGAACTAACGACATGTCATAGAAAAAGATAAAATTCTATAGTTGAATGTATCACTAATAACAATATTTCCACGAAGATCAAATATTAATCCATATGGAGTACTCATCGATGTTGATATAACTGTTGTTCCATAATCTGCTCCTGGTAGCCATTTTTGAACCCGTGAATTTCCAGCATCCAAAATGTACATGTAACCATATGGATCAAGAGTGATGGCAGTAGGATTATTGAATAGGTATGACCAAGGACCTGAAACACTTGTTGAACCAGCTACAGTTATTCCTGATAGTGCTCCTAAAAAAATGATTTGTTTATTTAAATTACAGGAAACATTTCTAATTTACCTGAATACCAAAGTTGTACTCTATGATTCGACCTGTCAACCACGTAAACTGCTTGATTTGAATCAACATAGATTCCCCATGGGCGATATAGTCTCTCTGGTGTACTTCCAGAACCATAACCACCAGCAATCTTAAATAAAAATCAAATCAAATCAATACGACAATTTTTATAGTTAATAAATAAAATACCAAAGTTCCAGCTGATGTATTAGTTGGTGACCATAGCGTAACTCTGTGATTTGCATATTCTGATATATAAATATTATATTGATTATCAATAAACATAGAATAACTAGCATCAATTTGCGTTAATGCTGCTCCACAACCATGATCACCGGCAACAGAATAACCAAGTGGATCTCCAGGAGTCCATCGAAGTACCCGACAATTACTTGTATCTAATATGTACATTACTCGATTTGCATCAACATAAATGCTTGATGGATTAGATAATTGAGAATAACTTGAACCACCATTTGATGTTACACCTGCAACTGTTGTTGCTGTTGTTGAACCTATTTTAACATAATAATAATAATAATAAATCATTTATTTTAAAATTCTTAATTTATTTTAACCTCTTGGAAAATATTGAATTCTATGATTATAACGATCAACAACATAAAGATTTCCATATATATCAATAAATGAACTATATGGTTGATAAAGTAAAATTGATGATGTTCCAGCATTTCCTGATGACCCAGCTAAAACCGTAAAACTTTGATTCCAAGCAGCTGTTTGACACACTGGAATGGTTACTTGAGCTATTGAAATAAAGAAAGAATGCATATAATCAAAGCATAAAAGAAGATTAGAACACGTTACGTGTTGGTAGTGTTGTTGTTGTTGTTACATTCGGCGCTGAAATCAATAAAATTTATTCATAAAAACTTGTTAAGAAGAATAACATTTTTGAATATTAAAAAAAAACTTACGACAATACATGGCAAATGAAATAATTCGATGATTATTATTATCAGTTACAATCATATTTCCATTAGCATCAAAAGTTAATCCTCGTGGATTAGTCATTGGTGCTGCTACAACAGTTATTCCGTATTCTGCACCAGGAACCCAACGTGTAATTCTACTATTGCTATCATCAAGAATATAAAGATAATTATATTGATCATAAATCACCGATGCTGGATAACTTAATAAATATGGCCATGGACCCGATACACCTGACCGACCAGCCACTGTGATACCTATAGCTGCACCTATTTAATGAGAATATAAATAAAAGATTGTGAATTATATCGAATAAATTTAACGAACCAGGGTACCATAGTTGAATACGGTGGTTGTAATTATCAGCAATATATAAATTTCCGACATTGTCAATATAAATGCCAAGAGGATAATAAAGCTGGTATGATGCTCCTCCAGCTCCGTATCCACCGGCAACCTGAAATATTTAAAAGATTAAAAAATAAAGCAATAAAAAAGACAAGTACCGCTTGACTCATATTTGGATTTCCAGCTGGCCATAAAGCAACACGATGATTTCCGTAATCTGATACGTATATATTAGTGGATGAATCAATAAACATTGAATAACTTGTCGATATTTGGTTATATGCTCCACCGTTACCACGACCACCAGCTACTACTGCAACATTGCTATTATTCCAACGCAATATCCGATAATTGCTAGTATCCAGTATATATAGAACATTATTATTGTCAACATAAATATCACATGGATTATATAAAGTTAAACCTGGAACGGTTGTTGCTGTTGCTGATCCACCAGCAAATTTTTGAATGCGATTGTTACTCTGATCAGCGACATACAGTATATTACCGGGACCATACAAAGCACGATATGGATAATAAAGTGCTGTTGCTGTACTTGCTGCTTGACCTGATATACCTGCTAATGTTCGAAAGGTATTATTCCAAGCGGCTGTTGGACATGTTACTGTTGATTGGGCTAAAAATTATAAATAAGATTTAAGCATTAAATATAACAAATATAAATTGGATTTGATGAAATCATCACAATTATCGTTTTCAAGAGACTTTTTATGACCTAGATTCAGAATAAATCCGATAAACTATATGAAATAGGGATCATCAAAATCATACTCATAGTATATCATGCAGAAGAGTTTCTTATTATGCTATCACAATACATATGAATAAATACAACTAGATTATCATAAACTAGAAAGTATTCTCTAGAGAAATTTGACATTATGTTTAAATAGTATCAACTGAGCAACAGTACAATCAGAGAAAGATAATTGTGTATATCTGTGAAATATCAAACAACTTATATCACAGATTCATGGCTAAGTGTTGTACTTATTAAAACTGTAAGCATTCGGCATTATTACTGATCATATCAGATGTGAACAAGTTCTTTTTTTACCAAGTTTTTTCCTGAAGTCAACATAATATCTGTGGCTTTTTTTAAGTTACATAAAGAATGACATCTTGAATCAGAGATGAACCCTGTTTTGTGGAACCGTTTAATAAAACTGATCTCACTCCTCTATGAATGATAACTAAAAAAAACAGACTACACACACTATTTAAATCGTTAACAGTAAGCCTTGAAGCGTTCATACTATGGGCTATTTAATTTCAGTCTGAATTTATCAAATAAAAATAATACTTGATTTCAAACTGAAACGTGAGTCTAGGAGTGAGGGAGGGGGGTGACTGAGGGTGTGGGTGTTGGCCTGGGACCCACACACACACCCACACCCATGGTGCGGGTGTGGGCGCGCGAGTGAGGGTGAGGGTGTGCTTGTGGTTTTGTGTACTATAGGCTTTAGTCCCCTGCACAAGGGACTAAGCGGGGACTAAGCTTTTTGTGGGGGGACTAAGGGGGACTTTGCAGGACTAGGGGGGACTAAGGGTTTTTAGTGAGACTACGTAGTATCAAGCGAGAAAAGTTTGATTCGGAAGAAATTGGTGTGGTTTTTTTGATTTTGGAATTCAGTTTGAAATAAAAAAGCCCATAGACTCGAAGCGTTGCTGATCATAAAAGGACTCTCTGGATTTAGTTTTTATTAACTTGAATTTCGAGGAGGTCACATAGATTATAAGCTATCAAACTTTTTCTCGACTAAGTATTTCAGCTCAAGGCTAATAGAAGACTACCATATAATACATTTAGCTCTCAGTTGTCTGTGTTGTCTTGCTTATCTTCAAGTTCTTTTTGTTTCGTATTGTACAGTTTGAGAATCGTATAACTACTAGTAGTAGTAGACCGTCTAGATATATAACGACCCATACTATTTATAGAAAGGTATATATAATTGCTATAGTTCTTTAGGACTTTGAAATCACAATGTTTTATGGAAAAGCAGTATACATCTTTACTTCCTGTCTTACAACTTCTTTTCAAATATATCATGAGTACTATAGTTTCGTTTGAATTTAGAAAGAATTCTAATAGGTCATTGTATGCAATCGAGTAGCAATCCAGAAGAGAAAACTATAAGACCAGAACCGTTTTTTTGCGAATACTGTGTTTTCATATAACAATAATGTTTACACACAAGTATGCTTATTAAAATGAACACTTAAGTTAAATGGGTTACTTGCCATTGTCCGATATAAGAATGACCTATTTAATCTCGTTTTCCTACCCTCATCCCACCCCGGAGTTGCAATTGAAACAACGAGGAAAATTTTCTTTGTGAGAAACGAAATGCAATATCGATTAAAATAACTGCTATTATCTTAAATTTACGCTAGAACTCTGTCTAGTTGTAAATAGAATGGTCCACCTTCCGCGAAGAAATGGAATTAAACATCTGTTGAACTGTCCTGTTGATGTCTAGAGAGAAAACAAAGCTTGTTTTGAAATCAGAGTCAACTGCTCAATCCACTTGACGCAATTTTCAACAAATATTACCGAGGTACAAAATAATTCTTATAAAATATTTGAAAAAGCTAACTTGAGAGACTTTTCTTTACATGTTGAAATAGTGAAGACGTATGTCTTGTGAATCAGAGTTGGCAGCCTGTACTTTAAAAGACCCACAGAATAATAAACTCTACTAAAAACAATTCATGAGGCTAATAAGCTCTCTTCGTAGGGTTTATTATTCTACGGTATTTTTACAGTGTAGCGATGCTACCTGTAGCATCAAACAGTCCTGCAAGAGTTGGCATTGAACATCGTAAAATACTCCGCAGAGCCTTACCGCAAAAAAGCCCTAAACGGTTCTCTTTTTAGGCTTAATATGTAGAGTCTTTTCAATTCATTTCTCAACACCGTTGTGCCTATTACGCATCAATCAGAAACCAACTGGGGCTCTCTTGTAAAAAGGCTCTGCAGGCTATCCGACAATTGTCCGATGTCAACTGTTGCAGGGCTTTGTGGTACTCAGTATGTAGTTTAAAACCATACAACTCCAATTTCTGTAGATCAAGCTTTTCTCGCGGATGGGCGCTCCAAAAAGCATGATTTTGTTGAATGCATACTCATCGAGATTTCTCTCTCTCTGGTCAAAATTCCAAGTCTGTAACGTGAGCCGGTCATGAAATATGTCTGTGACATAAAAAACTGGAAATGATAATTTTTTTCGTGTACACGATACTATGGGTGAACTCATCAACCACTTATCTACAGGCACTCATTGTATTATGGTAGATACACAAACCTCCGATTTCTTCACATGGAAATTTTTAAGTTAAACAAGTATATACATGTTGGGATACAAATGTCACCAAAAAATCGCGAAAATTCTTTCAAGTTAAAAAAGTACGGACCGTTGCCAACCAGAAAGCTCGACATGTTGGTAGGGCATTGGAAACAGGAATCCGATGATCAGATCCACTGCCTAGGTTTTTCCAGTTTCTGTTGGAAACGACCGCAACCGGCAAAACGAGCCACCGCATCCGATCCACGGATCTTACCGCCACAATCATTATCCTGTGTGTGCTCTTTTTGTGACGGTGGCCTTAGAAACCTCGAAATATTTCGAAAACAAACAATATTTGCTTCGAAGAGATCATGACAAATGCTGCCGACACTTGCCCGTATAAACATATCAAAGCTAGTCAAATCGGCGATCGACAATTCAGTAGCATCGATCGGAGCTGGTTCTGGCTTACATGGGGTAGGTCATAAAATTATACGTAACTGAAAACTGTTTGCTGTGTACTAAACATTAGTACAGGCTTCCAACGAACACTATTATGACATTCAGATTTTGGTAGCACAAACATTTTTGCATATAGATCATAAAAATTTTTTTAATATTTTCCACCGTCGAAGACTTTCACGCTTTCAACTACTGTTAACCAATAGGATAACTATCGAATATCATCAGAAACTCAACTTTATGCTATGCTTTGCGAAAAACAGACAGACCTATTTTTTACTCGAAGGCTAGACAAAGTTTCTTTACATTTGAAGGTTTTCATTATTGAAAAAAAAATCATGAGATTCGTTCTACTTTTATGAGATTATTTTCAAAATCTCTCCAACTTCAATTATCCAGAGAAACCTATAGTCTAAATATAAAGAAATTAAGTCTAAAATTGTGAGCAAACTATAGTCTGAGTCTTTACAAATCGAAGAAAGTTTATCAGGAACATGGGAACACATAAGGACACATCACTGAATCGATGAGAGTAGAGAACTATCGTCTCCGTTGCAGCCTTACTATCGCAAGCCAGTATTTCTGACAATAAGATTCTCACATTGTTCCTGATGTTTCCACTCAAAACATGAAAAGTCATTTTTTCATGCATATTCTTAAGTTACACCGAACTGCAAATGCATTTTACTACATCTGTACACAACAGTCATGAAGATTTAGAATGAGTTCCATGTTAGTACATGGTAGACAAGGAGTTAAAAATTGTTTTGAAGGTGAACAGAAGTTTCAGATAATATTCTGCAAAAGCATTCTCTTTCGCTTGTGGGTGGATCTCTTCTTTTTCACGGGGATCGTTTTGATATTTCAGTGAACATATAGATGTATTATTAAAACACAAACAACATCTATATGATCATATTGAAAATAGCGCATGATCAGTTCCTATTTCAAATTGATCTATCTTTCAACATCCAATAGAGTAGAACACAGAAAGTCGTAGTTTTTACAAAATTTTAGGTTGTAAAGCGGCAGAATTGAATGAACTTAAAAAGTCAGATACATCCTTTGACCTGTCTTGGTCTGGATGCTGAAAAGTAGCCTACTGACCATTCTATTATGAATATTAATTATAATTAAAATAGTTTCAAATATTTTCAGTCTTTTTAAGGGAGAAAACGTAATAAAAAATCGAAATACGTACTATGTATTGATTCCGGAAAAACTCTGAATTGAAAAAATAGAAACAAATCAATATTGAAAAGAAAATCTTGAAATAGACTTACAAGAGCAGTAATACGACAACATACAATTGATATTGTAGTTGGATTTTCATTGCTAAAACACAAATTAGAAATAGTATTTCAAAAAAATGTTTATTTATCTAAAATATAAATAATATTGTCATTTGATATGCTAGATAAATTTATATGAAGTAACTAATAGTCTATTTGTTCGACACTGTTGTTGGATCGTTGTTATTTAAATGTTTGTCGCGATGAAAGTGAAAAATATATATGAAAGTGAGAAAGAAATTGCTTGTTTTTTAAATATCTCGTCTCCTTTTAAGTGAATTTCGTTAATGGAAGAGTAACAAAACAAATTTCAATCATCAAAAGAAAAAAGCTTTTAGCAAAAAGAGACAGATACCATTAACATAAAAAAAAAGAAATTGATCAAAACAACACTTTCTCATACTTCCATTACGTGGTGCATTTTATTGATTTTCACTCTGTTTTTTCACATTCAATTATGAAACAAAAAGAAAAGATTGCAGCTCCACAAAAATGCATCGAAAAATTTGAGAGAAAGTTCACGCGATGTTTTTGAAACACTTTTTAATTTTTATCATTCAAACTGGCGTTGCTACTCAAAATTTACTTTTTTTTTCGAATAATTTATTATAAAAATGAATTAATCTTAAAAATTATTTTTGTCATAAAAGTTCTCATAATGATGATTGATTACAATAGCGTATAAACGCATATTTTTTATTGCAAAAAAAATTCTTGTTCATTTTCTTATTCGCACTTCTTCTTTCTCATTGTTCAAAATTTCATTTTTTATCGAATTTTGAAATATTATCTTTCAATAGGCACACAAGTATATAAACTAGATGTATCGAAGACATCCTCCTATTTCAGATAAACCTATTTGAGTCACGTATTTTGACTTTATCTGTTTATAATTTTAACAACAGTGGAACGTATTGACAAAAATCTGGTGTGTTCATGAAAGAGTTGTGTAGATGACAGCAACTTCGGAGCGCGGACAGAATATGGGTCGTGCGCTTGTGGGCTATCAGAAGAGCCTCAAGCACCTATCCTATAGGTTATATACAATGATGTTAAGTTTGATGCATATGCTTCCCCGGGGGGGGGGGGGGGGGGGGGGGGGTCGGGGGGAAATTTGTCTTCGTTTTGATAAGTTTCTTACGATTTATTCAGGTTTTCTCACGGAATCCTTTTATTTTCTTATATGTATATAACGTTAGTATAGTACGATTAAATCCCTGCTTGCGATATTATGATTTTGCTCTGTGTGAGGCTTCTAACAAGTTGATAGGTGTCTAGTGAAATCTTGTAGGAAAGTTAGGAGATGTTGTCTGAAACCGAGCAGATTCTATGAGAAATAGGTATGATACCACAAAAGCCCGCCGAAACGTTCTCAGAAACGACCGCATCCTAACCAAATCGAATGTTCCAATCATTCGATTTGAGTTACATACCATAAGTTTCAGAATGTTTCGCATCGAATATTTATGTTCTTTTATGAAGTTTCCCGCCGTTTTCTTCTAGTTCCAGTGAGATTTAGTTAGTTTCATATTGAGTTTCACTTTCGGAATTATGTTAGGAAAAAAATCCTTTGCGGTACGGTGAGTTTTCGAACCAGAATCAAAGATTGAAATGAACGACCTAGCTAAGACTGTAGAAATCATTATTTGTAACAACACTACACAATCCAAGCAGTACTTAAGATTTATCGATAGAAAAAGTTTTGAATATCTTAGATGATCTTATAAATTTCGATAGGAGAGAAAATTTCATAGCAAATGAATTTGTTTTCAATTTTCATTGACTTTCAGATGAAAATTTATTTTTGGGAGCTTTCAAAACTCACTTCACACCAGTGTTGATATCTGACTATTTATGCAAACGACATTGATATTCTCAGACAGGGTACTTAGCTTTATCGAACTATAAAAACTTCCAATAGAAAGGTGGTAAAAAATCTTTCTTGATAGCTATGGAGGTTCCAAGTGCGAAGAAATTTAGCTCTGATAAAATACGAAATAACCTTCTGAATAATAATCAGGTCTCAATACTGACTTCCGGGTCAATAAAATCAAGGTCAGAACTTTCAGGAAGCGAGATTCTTAATTTCGTACAGTTTTATGTTTGAACTGCAAAATGACCAATATGATATCGTGGGAACTTTTTGTCAGGACTCATCGTTTGCCTGCAGCATAAAATTTATTTAGTACAACAAATCGTGACTTGTACAATATACTTTGTAGTAGGCTGCTAGAAAGAATGGTATATCAAATCTAAAAAATAGGTTTTACTTTAGCTTCGATATTTTAAAGCCTGAAATGTAAAACGTGCTGGTTTAAGTTCAACCTCTCTATCAGAGAGTTCTCAAAAATTAAAACGTCACGTCTATTGATGACTCACTGGCAGCCGCACTGGTTTAATAGAGCATTAGTTTCGACAGAAATATGCCTATTTTATGTAGTCACTTCTGTCCTAAGTCTTATTCATTGGAGTTAACATGCAATGAAATGATATGGCCTAAAATAGAATAATAATACTGTTTTCTTCATAAAAAAAAACTATTATGACTTGAGGAATAAGCACTCATGAGGACTAACTTGAGAAGTTAAGAATGGTTTCTAAGTTTTTATTTTTCTTTTATCCTTAAAAAGTCTATCAATGAAGTTAATACCGTATTCATCGTCAAAACACCTGATTAGGTCCATAGATGACTATTTGTTAAGAGAATTTCTAATCAAATGCTTGAGATCAAACTAAATTCGAACATAGCAAGATCCATAAAAACCGAACTTCGAAGTTTGAACTCGAGTATACATGTTCGAATTAAATTCAAAGTCGAGCTTCTTGTTTTCATTTAAAGTATGATTTTGTTTTAAGGTCCCCTCAACGCTACGTATCGACGACCGAAAGGACAAAATACATAAAACACACACCACCGGTGCTAGTGTGGATGCTCTAAAATGACTGATTAATACGATGAGTATAATGAATGGTTAAAATAGTTGAATATCTGAACTTCAGCTATTCGAATAATGGTTTATTTGAATTCAACTTGTAGGTGTGACACTACTGGTTTCCATGAATATTACTTGTAGATGCTATCATTATAATATCATCAATTAATCGTTAATTATTAAGTAATTAGTTAATGGAAAGAACTTTCGACAAAAGTTCTTTTTCTAGTTTTCAGCGAAGTTCAGATTTCCGAGAAAGAAAATTTTCGACGTAACACAGGAAAAAGTAATCTCAAGAAAGCTTCTTATGGAAATCGTACAGGATATGTCAGAGATTCACCGACAAATGCAGTTGCAAATCTACAATAATTTAAAAGCCTACTAGCAAAACGATTAGAATTTTTGGCGTTTTTCGAAATTCGCTAGAAACTACTTTGTCATACATTGACAATGTCGTACATATATCTTGTCTACATAAATAACTTCTGAGACAAATTTTTTGTTTTTGAATTACTTTTTCAGCTAATATCTGATCAGAAAAGCAGTCTGGCTTAAAATTATTTTCATTCCAAAGTCAATATCCAAATCTGAGTTGATACTTATATGTTTCAAATATTTGTAAGGTTTTTGAATAAAAAACATTTATTTCGAATTGCTCTTAGATGATGTTCAAAACCTAATATCTGTCAAAAAATAGTACTCTTATCGTTTAGTGCTCTGTTAAGTCGCTGCTAATACTTTGTAGAAATTCGACTCCGTTGTGACACAATCCAAAACTTATTTCTTACAGATACCATTATTTTGATAAAGTTTTGATGGATACTAAAGTAGAGTTTGACGACAGAAAAATATCTCATAAATACTTGAAATATATATGGAAATTGACCCAGTTGTTGAAGGCAATGCCGAATATGATATTAGCATTGACACAAACTGTAGTTTTCTAATTAAAACATAGCAAGAGTCAGCAAAAAAGCCAAATCAACATGTCTGGAAAATAAGGTCCATAAATAGTTTTCAATTCGTCCTTGTTTTAAAGTTTGGAAAATTTACCGTCTTTCAGGTTTTAAAGATGGCTATCGAGTAAATTATACTAGTAACACAGTCATCTTCAGTTTTGAACTGAAAAATTCATCGAATGACAGAGTTAAACCCTGAACCACATCAGCAGAATGGAATATGAATAGAGCTCCCAGAGACTTGTAGAATACTTAGGGTATACCAAAAGTTCTGATCACAGTTTTTAAAATTTAATAAAGCAATAAATATTGAATAATTTACTAAGGCAATATATAGTATAACGTCTCGTCTTTAATAATATATAGAGCAACTCTCTCTTAGACTTAGTTCTAACATCCTTTCAGACTAAATCTATAGTATTTATAGCCAAGAAAAGATCATGCCAACATAAAACCACAATACAGAAACGAAGAGACATTCGTTATTTTATTTTATCAAATGCTCAAAATAATCACCATTATTTTCGATACAAAGTTTCATTCTTTCTAACAGTTTATCGAAAGTCTTTTTAAACTCGTTTATTGGAATATTCTTCACTGTGATGGAAACCTCTTGAGCTAATGATTCTTCGTTTGTGTGATCCGTCAACTTGTTCTTGATATAATCATTTAGCCAAAAGTCACACGGTGCGAGATCTGGTGAATATGGTGGATGTGGAATGATTTCGATTCCTTCCTCCATTAAATAATCAATAACATCTGGATGAGTATGAGGAGGACCATTATCATGAAGCATTTTATATGTAGTACGTGATGACTTTTCCTTTTTTCTTATTTCATTGATAACAGGTATAAGACAATTATCAATATAGTAGTCATGATCGATTGTCTTGCCCTTATCTACTTTGTGTATGAGAAGAGAACCAGTGGATTTGAAGAAGAAGCAAAATAGTGTTCTAGGTTCAAATCTATTCCGACGAACAATGGTTCTTGGTAGTTCATTTTCGCCAACCCAAGTAGCATTGCTTGACTTTCGACCAATCTGCCTGTGATAAATCCATGTCTCATCACCAGTAATAACATCACATAAATGCCATGTTCCATTTCTAAATTTCTCTAAATTTTGACGACAAATTCTAAGTCGTTTTTGTTTTTGTTCGTCAGTAAGTTGATGAGCAACCCAACGTGATGTAACTTTTCTCATCTTTAGACGATCATGAATAATTCGTTCTATTGTACCACGTGATAGATCAGTCTCACCCATAATATCATCATAAGTTGAGTGTGGATCATCTTCGATAACTTGTCGAACGCGTTCAACATTTTCATCTGTAAGTACCGAAATCGGACGACCAGATCGAGGATCATCAGTGACATCGTCTCTTCCTTCACGAAAACGTTTCGCCCATCTTCTGACTGTTGGATATGATGGAGCATCAGGTCCCAATGCCTCTGTAAGTTCGTCAAAGATTGTTTTTGAATCTATTCCCAAAATAGCTCGAATTTTGATATAATATCGATTGAATTCATCAGTCATGTTTAATGTCTTCTTTTAAGATTGAAATCAAATTCTATTACGATTTTAAGTCGAGTACGGTACAAATGAACTAACAGCGAACGAACTCTCATTTATATATACTATCGAAATGTAATATTCTAGAACATGACGTCATAAAACGTGACGAGAGAGTGACCAATAGAAAGTTCCAGAATGTACCTGACCATTGAACAAGAATTAATAATATTTGCATTGTCTGTAAAATTATAGATTTAGTCTGAAAGGATGTTAGAACTAAGTCTAAGAGAGAGTTGCTCTATATATTATTAAAGACGAGACGTTATACTATATATCGCCTTAGTAAAATATTCAATATTTATTGCTTTATTAAATTTTAAAAACTGTGATCAGAACTTTTGGTATACCCTAAGTAAGATATAGTACAGTAGAATAGTAGGTCATGCATATCGATGGAGTATTAACAGAATGGTATCGAATTCAAACTCTATGGTGGTTTAATTTTTTGCATGATTGCGGTCTATTCTTAAACTCACTCAGTAAAACGTAATAGAGATAACTACAATGTTAGATGATTTTCCTCGTTCCTTGTTGTAATTCTAATGAACTAGAAATAGAACATTTTGTTGACTTTAGTGTATTGCTGTATATGGGTACCTTCATCTTAAACATGATTATACTTGATTAGAAGCTAAAGGATCTAGTGAGTTGATTAGATACCTTGTACATCGGTAACCTTTATAGTATATTTATCTGTTATAAATTAACCGTGAATAGGTCTTTAAAATGCATAATCTTTTCCGTTTTCATCAAATTAGATTGCCTTGGAATTTTTCTATTGACTAGAAAAAAAATCTGAACTCGATGGCTAATAAATTTGATGAGTTATTATAAAAACAATAGTGCCATTATCTTTTTTAGATCCATGTGAGTTTGTTCTCAAAAGGCATGTCATTTTTGTACAGAGTAAGTTGATAAGAATAACGAGAAGAGAGATGTAAGAGAGTTTTGTAACCATATACTTAGGACAATCCAAAAGTAGTGTCGTCAAGGTTTTATTTTCTTATAGTAAGCAAAAAAAATTTCTCTTTTTTATAAATAGATAGAGCGTCTTTTGCTCTATCTTTCTATGCTATTGAATCGATCTTCACTCAATACTAGAATAAAAAATCTTGATAAGAACTGTTTTCGTTGGAAGCTGGCTGGTTGCATTACATTATATCATCATTCTTGCATGCTCTTATTTCATTCTTTCCTTGTTTTTCCTCGTTTTGACATGTAATTAACCGAGCAGATATTTCAGTGTGCAAAATGTGATAGTGATGCAAAATAAAAAAAAAACAGAAAGAAGTTCAACTAATGTCTATTTCATCAAATGTTCAAAATAGTCGCCTTCATCATCCACACACAACTGCATTCTTTGAATCGATTTATCGAAAGGCTTTTTTATATTCTTCTTTGCTCAGAGAGTACATAAACTCCGTCATAGCATTACCTAATGATTCTGAATCGTTTTGATATGTCAGATTTTCTTTGATTAAGTCGAATAACCAAAAGTCACACGGTGTTAGATCTAGAGAATTAGGCGGATGTGACATTATTATAATGCCTTCCGATTCAAGATAACTGGTCACATCTTTATGAACATGTGACCTTCCATTATCGTGATGAATTATAATATCACGAATAGCACGAGACGGCCTTTGACATTTGATTTCATCGACGAGAGGTCGCAAATAATTCTTGATATAATAATGGTGATCAACTGCTTGTCCCCTTCCCATATGATGAATAAGGACAGGACCATTTGACTTAAGAAAAACGGAAAATAATGTTTTGGGAGCAAACTTACTGCGTCGAATCACAATAGGTGGAGGATCTCCTCATGCCACCCACGCAGCGTTTGATGACAAAACCATGACTCGTCACCAATTATTACATCACATAAACGCCATGTTCCTTTTTGGAATTTTGCTAAATTTTCCTTGCATATTCGAACTCGCTCTGACCGTTGAAAATCATTCAGATCTTTGGGTACATAACAAGCGGTAAGTTTTCTAAGCTTTAGATGATCCGAGATGATTCGCTAGACAGTTCCATAACGTAAATCAGTTTGCTCCTGCACTGCTTCAATTGTATTATAAGGATCATGGTCGATTAAAGGGCGAACTTATCCTATATTTTCAGCTGTAGCTTCAGTGATTGGCCTTCCAGATCTTAATTCATCTTCAATTTCTTCTCGCCCTTCACGAAACGATTTAGACCATCTTTGAACTGTTCTAAGAGAAGGAGCTTGACCACCGTAAACAGAAGATAATTCATTATGAATAGTGCTTGGTGGAATGTTAAGTTCGGTGCGCACTTTAATATATACGTGAAATTTTTCTGTACTCATCTGAAACAAATAGAGACCGTTAAGGCTCAATCCAACTTAATTCTTTTGGTAATTTCAAAAATATTGCAGCAAACTATACATGTACACAAAGAAGATAAGACATGACGTATCTGTTAACATATATGTATGCATTGACGACTAATCACATGGCAAGACGAGAAAAAAAATAAAAAAGATAAGAGAAAAACAAGGAAAGAACGAAAAAAAAGCATGCAAGAATGATGATATAATGAAACGCAACCAACCAGCTTCCGATAAAAACAGTTCTTATCAAGATTTTTTATTCTAATATTGAGTGAAGATCGATCCAATAGCATAGAAAGATAGAGCAAAAGACGCTCTATCTATTTATAAAAAAAAGAGAAATTTTTTTTTGCTTACTATAAGGAAATAAAACCTTGACGACACTACTTTTTCATTGCCCTAAGTATATCTCAAGATTCATTAAACAATAAAATCTAATCTAGATTTATGTCTTCTCCTGTCAAGAAATGTCATGTTCTAGATCAGCTCAAACCACTGTCTCGAACGGCATACCTTGCATCAGAAACCTTTTCCACCAGAACTTATCTGGAGTAAAGCACACGGAAAGATTTTTCGAAAGACATCAGACTTCAAGAGACTGCGAAACTACATGAGCACCCAACAAACCATAGAAATTGCATTAAAATTCTGACCATGTAAAACACACTACCGATTAGATAAAGGTAACAAAAGAGTTTCCTTTTGTTGTCAAATTCTTTTTTTTCAAATATATATAATGTTGGGACCTGTTAAGGTGATTACTACTAAGTTTAAATACCTGACTCGACATATCTTCAATATTTCTAGGAAAGTGTAGATTACACATATTTTCTACAATATTTTTTGTTATCTTTCTATTAATGGGAAGTAGTATGATTTGATCTTGTTTATTAAAAATCAATGGATACATAGTAAAAACACTTGTATAAAAAAATGCCTTCATGAACAGATATAGTCAACCAAAAATAAAGGAATAAGACAATTGCTTGTTGATTATTGAACGATAAAGTTCAAGGTTTATCAGATGATAGACTGTCACAAATGATAGAAGCAAACAAGAAAAAGATTGAAATTCTTCATAACGTTGCCATAAAATCGATGAAACATTTCTTATAGAAATAAATAACTTCATTAAAAACTTGTAGTAAAAATTTTCAGAATACTTCATGAGACTTCACAAATGAGGTCTCTATTGTCTCTCCTCAGGGGAAAGGGTCACAAACACCATAAGGAACAGATCTTTTACTTAAAAGCCAGTCAAATATGACTTTTTTTTACTCAGTTTCTGATAGAGAAAAAGAAAAAAAGTACTGTTTGAAAAATTTCAGGAATAAAATCAGTCGAAAAATTAAATTGAAACTATTAGGAGTAATTTTTTTCCTGTTTCTTTGTAATTGCCAAGTATATCCATTTTTTCTGTCAAAATACGATAACAAAATCAGAAACCCATATATTCGTGATCTGCGCATCAAACTCTAATCAACGATAAATCGATAAAACAAAATACGTTTCTAGTCGATATTTGCATTGTTCACACCCTGTCATCTTGTATAAACTCTGAGGATTGAGTCTCAGAAGAAGTCTACTAGATCTTCTATATTTGATTGCATTTTTCTAGCAAAACAAGAACTCATCATATCTACTTCATATTTCTTTACCTTTAGTTGAAAAGAAATTATAAATCGTGTTGTGTGTCGCACATGTATTGTTAACGATGTGTCTTTCACCTTAGTTACAATCTCAATAATGAGCATAATAGTTCGTTCGAAGATATATTTATCTTTTTAGAGGATGAGTGACCTCTTCTGCGCATAGGCATCTCTCGTATCATACGATGAATTTAGTGTTAATTTTTTCAAAACTAACACTAGTTCGGAAGGTGAAGCCTCTTTAGATGTGGCTACATTTCTCTCTATTCTTCTAATTTGCTTGATGTGTGAAAAAGTCAAAAACAATTCCAAATCACATGAACTATTTTCTTAAGTCAATAGAGAAATATGTAAATTTGTCAAATCAATATTGATAGTGCTGATCATAGCAGTTCATTCGACTGCTCAAAATATCAAAACTCAACAGTACAAACATTTCATATTTTCACATGACGCATAGAAATATGAAAGCATCCAGCATGGTAAATGTTTTATTAATTCATGTCGAAGGCAACCTCCCATTTTCTCATTATTTACGACAAATACCCAAAAAGAGACGTGTTTAGTTGAGTTGAGAAGCAGCCGATAGAATACAAGAATAATTTTCTTTTTCATATTGAATTTCTTTTTTTCTGAATGCTTGAGTTATTTCTAATCCATGAATGTTAGATGTTGCTACGGATTTATTATTATTGCTATTTTTTCTTATTCCAATAATTTACTAATGAGAAGAGAGAAACTAAAAGAACAGCATTTCTTTTGTCGATTGACTGCAATAGAAAATGAGAAAGCAGGACAAACATAGTGTAGAGGAAATAAAATCCAAATCAACTTGTAAATTGTCGGTAAGTATATGGCCGGAGAGAAGGTATAAAAGATCAACATTTATCTTGTAAAAGAGTGACTCGAGAATTCTTTTGAAAACTATTCATTTTGGTTCCATTTAACCATTT